AGATGACTTGGCTATCATTTTTCTCATGAACTCATGAAGCACACCTGGAAAAGAATGAATAAAAAGGGAATAACTGCACAGGACCTTGTCATTATTTTGTAATTCACAAGTGTGTGAGGTGGACATAGACTTTCTGGATTCAGAAAGTGCAACTGTTGATCAAATTAATTAAATGTTATGCATTGAACATTTATGTTGCAACACAAGTAAGCCATGAGCCAGTACTGCAAGTAACATGAGTGCTAAAGAACTGAATCCACAGCACATTTTCATAATTAGCTCCTGTCTGACCATCAGAAACCATATGTGCAACTCCAGTCAGAAAATCTGACAGCATCAGTGATGGTACTTCCAAATGCTTTCTGGAAAGCAAAGGGCCTAATTCCTGCAGCCAGAAAGGTGATTAGTCTTGTCAGTGGAAGCAGCATCACAGATAGTTAATTGGTAACATAAATAGGTGAATAAGGTCACAGAGATACAGTAAGCTGAACTGGATCATTACCATTAGTATATTCCTAAAGGAAAATAAAGGAAAGCCACTGTTAGATCTGAGTAACCACTCTTTTGCAAACATGCATATCACTGAACTAGATTATCTTGATTACTCGATAACCAATGAACTAGATTATCTCCTACTACTTTCATTTACCCTAGAATACTGTGCAGACGTTTTTAGGTTGCTGGCACATTCCTTTAAAATAAATACTTTTTCAGCTCCATTTTCCAGCCTTAGACAGGCTGGACAACCAGGAATACTGGAATTGTTATTTTATTATACACACTGTTATATCTCTCTACCAGTGATGGCATGTTTCATGGAAACTAGAAATCTCCTAAATGCATCTTTCCAAAAGTTGGATCCCATGAAGAGAAAACCAATTGCTCCTAGCAGATGATCCTTTTACAACTCAGAACATGAACTTTAATTACTCTTTTATCATATATACAGCTGCAAACACTATCAATGGCCATAAAATTGTCCAGGCTTTTTAAAGATTCAGTTATGCTATTTTTCTTCACTTCCTGAGAATGCAAATAGCAATGTTTGACTCTGTCACTGTATAAAGGGGAATATGAGAATGAAGACTGCTGGAATCCAGCAGCTAGCAAAAGAAGGCACATTTGCAAAATAAATCCTCAAGCTGTTTAGTTTTTGGCCTTGGTTCTCTTAATTTAGTTAGCTTTAACTTTTTTTCTTGAAAAAATAAATAAATTTTCTCATCACATTTTTTTAAAAAATATTTTTCTTCTTTCACAACATTGGCTGCCCTGCCAATTCTCCTAAATTCAACAATGCAAAGTAATAGACTGTCATCTATAAAGTTATTTTAATGGCATTGCTGCTTAGATAATTTTCCAGATGTATCAGACAATCTGCAACACTCTTGGTGTGTTAATAGTTTTACCTAAAGTGGATGTCAAAAAAAAGATATGGATTCAGAAACAAAAAGCTCAATGACACCTGCTCAGTGGTAATATTGTATGATAGTGTTTTTTCCACAAATGCCTACAAAAATTATGATAGATGTCTATGTAAAATAAAGTGTTGTTTTGTTATTCTCAATGATAAAAAACGCAATCTCAAAAGAGTTTTTTTCTGAATTCAGGAAAATAGTACCTTTCGTTGGCTTTGGTATTCTTTACTATGGCCTAGTTCAATATTCCTTATTAATTAATAAGTAAAGGCAAAATAGGTTTACATTTCATATGTGAAGTTTGATCCTTTTGTTGTTGTTCAAACCATGCTCTGCTCAAGGATCTCCTAACTGCGCCTTTCTATTCACATATGTGAATAGATGTGTCCAAGGCCTTTCTATTCACATGTGTTTCACTAAAAGATATAACTATTCCACATGCATCTGGCATGGGAGAATGAGAATTAGCACTCTTTTTCAGATCCATCAAAACAGAAAAATTAGGGCTAAGGTTAGAGCAGGCTCTAATCGCATGTTGTGGAGTAACCAGAGTCTTGCACAAAACTGGTCCATGAGTAAGCATCATGTTTGTCCATTTCATTTTAGGTCAGTCATGGATGCTTTCAGTCTTTGACAGAATCAAATTATACCGAGTTTTGGAATATTGTTTTTAAGGATCATGAATGTAATGACCAGCAGCATAACAGCCTCTAAAATTCTGCTGACTGTAACAGAGCTTTGAAACAATGGATTTTTCTGGCAACACTACTTTTGGAATGCCAAGGGAACTTTTCACCACAGCTCAATTCATCTGGAAATTGTGTTTGGATACATAAAATCTTATGAAAAATAAAAACTGGTTAGTCTTAAGGGTGCTACAAGACTTCTCTGTCCATGAAAATTCTCAGTCATCCAGATGTGCTTATCTGGAAGTTGTGTCATGGCAACTGGACTTCATTCTTGTTAGGCTGAAACATTTGGATGAGTACAGTGGACCTTCGACTTACAGACGGCTCGACTTACAGACTTTTCGAGTTACAGACTTCTCTGGCTGCAAAATTTAGATTCGACTTGCAGCCAGAGAATCGACTTACAGACCAGAAAAAAACCAAAATGGAATAAAAATAGAATTAAAACCACTGGTTATGGGATTAATCGGTTTTCAGTGCATTGTAGGTCAATGGAGATTCGACTTGCAGACTTTTCGACTTGCAGCCACCATTCCAATATGGATTAATTCCTTAAGTAGAGGGTCCACTGTACTGAAACGTTTCAACCTAACAAGGAAATCCAGTTGCCATGACTCAACTTCCAAATACAAGATTTCTGGTTTCTCTTCTGCTACAACAGTCTAACACAACTACCATCTAGATAGATTAACCTTTTCACCACTAGTGAATCAGTCTTCTCCAACACACTGTCATCCCACTGTGTTGGACTATAATTTCCATTGTCCCCAGGCAATGTGGGAAAACTGTGGATTATAACTGACAGATCTGGAGGGTAATATGTTTGAAGAAAATTCCTGAAAGCAAGATAATCAGTCAGCCAAAACCAGCATAAGTGACCAACCCTTGGGCAAATTGAGGTCTTTCAGATTTTGGACTGAAAACTTTATCATTCCTAACCATTGGTATGGTGGTTAGGTCTGGCAAGAGTGATATTCTAACAACATCTGAAGTGTCTTACACATTCAAACCTGCTTAAGGACAAAGAAAATGTAGATCAAAACGATTTTTAAAGACTCTGCTATATCAGACAAAATGAGAATCCTTCAATACTAGCTTCTTTAAGTTAAAAGTAAACTTGTAGGGCACTGGCCAAGCTAATTAAGGCCTTGGCTTAACTCATCTTTAGGCATTCTTTGTTCTTTATTAGTAACAAACAGAGTTGTTTTCAAGGGACTACAAAAATATATAACTACCTTGAATGTTGAACAAATACTATGGAACTTGGTAGACACCATTACAATACAATTCTTTGCAGTTCAAATGATATCATGACCTCTTCAGGGAGTCTCCAGTACTGTCAAGACTAAGACCAGATACCATCCCTATTGAACCCTACACTTCATGATGTTTTTGTGCATAGTGTAGAACTCACAGGAATGAATTAGGTTTCCATTCCAGTGATTATTTCCAAGCATTAAAAACACATCACAAAGGCACTAGAAATTGGAATCTGCAACAGTTGTTGAGCAAAATTGCTGGAGACATTTGCAATACATTTTTTTGTAAGCACACTTAAAAATTTCAGGGATACCTGCTTTGATGCATAGCATTTGGGTTGGATTTTGAAAGGCAATCATGATCCCTTGTGTCTACACAGAACATCCTACTCTTGTACACAGGATTGATTAATAAACCAGATTCATTGCAGATGCTAACAGATACAAACAAGAATCCTAAATTCCTTTGAGATAAATTTTAGAGAAACCCCCCGCCCTTCCAGTTATGGATACTTAAGATACTTAATTCTTTTTGACATTATGGGAATATAGGATACTTATCATTAGATTTTTGTAACTATAAAAAAACAAGGCTTTGGATTATGGAATGATTCATCTGTATTAAGTGGGCTATATGTTTTGCATTTTCTACAGGAGTGAATAGCTAATTTTTAATGGTCTCTATACAACTCTAGCTCAGTGAGTTAGGTATCTGTCTGCAGAGCCAGAAGCTGGGAGTTAAATTTCTCACTTTGTATCCTTGGAGCAGAGCCAGCCTGTCTAACCTTGGGTAAATAGCACAGTCCCAGGGCACCCTCCTCAGAAGGAAATGGTAAACCACTTCGGAAAAGGGTTGCCTTAAGTCAAAATTGCCTTGAAGGCATATAATTCCTCTTCTTTCGAAATCTATGCATTTTTGCATAATGTCAGCATTATCTAAGGAATCATCTTGGCAGACCAGTTTTAACAACTAGAGGATTTAGTGAGAAACTCCATCTGTGACAGGCTTTCTGAAATATAAAGACCTGAGCATAAGAACAAAGCTTACCTGTGTCAAAACCAAACGTTGGGACAATGTCGACTGTTCCATGAAAGGCTCCTGCCCATGCTGAGGTAGCACTGGTGACAGCAGAAGGATCTGTCTTTGCTGCATCACACTGTGGTGGAGGAATCTTGCCTGTGCAAACTGAAGGCATCAGCAAAGGCCTGTAACGTGGGTCAAGGTGCGAAGTTGGGTGGTGGTGCATGTGTGCATGGGGATGGTGGTGATGCATGTACACATCATGCATATGTCCATATGAAGAGCTCACCTGAGATGCTAATGGATAATGCCAAGATTCTGACATGCTAGGTGGAGGAGGTGGAGCAGTCTGATGCAGGGCATGTCCTGGCCAGCTACTAGGATCCGCTGTTGAAAAGGTGCCTGGTGCAGTAACTGGAAAATCATGATGGACTCCACTTAAGCATGGGGGAGGTGGAGTTTGATAAGAACTGGTCCAAAACGAAGCTGGGAAACCACTCCTTTGGCTTGTTATTGTTGAATTCTCTTTTAAAAGAAAAGCCAAAGTGAGAATAAATTCTTAAAACTGTTCTTAAATTACAAACAGCATTGCTAACATGGATAAAGAAAAACAGCTCACAGACAAAATTATTTTTAAAATATTAATGAAAGTACATCAAGAAACCAGTCAATCGCAAATGACACAGTTGAGAGTAGGCCTATGTGAATCAATGAACACATGGAGAAGTTGACTCACCAGATCGCCATTGATTCAATGGACCTACGTTAGTGTTATCTAGCGATATTTCAACAGGATTTTGACTAATACGTTTCAAAATGAGCAGAGTTATAATGATTCTTCAGAGAGAGCTTTCTTTCCCCTTTTCATTTATGCCAGAGCTTGACTTTTCTGAACTACCACTTCCCAGAATCCCATAACCACACTGGGCTTGGCTATACCAGCTGGGGGATTCTGGGAATACTAGTCCAAAAAGTCACTCTACTAAGCTTTGGTGTTGTTTAACATGAGATGACTGCCCCTGCCCGCCATTGTTTCCATCTCTTCCACCTCCAAATTGTGAAGAGTCAGAAAATTGGAAACCACATAAAATCAAACTGTGGGCAGCGTATGCTAAGTTCCCTCCTCCTCCCAACACACAAAACCTGGCAGTATAAACTGTTTCTTACAAGTGTTTCAGGGTGTGTGTTTACAAATTTGTCAGTTGTAATAACAGTAGTTCAGTTTGCTTTAGAAACAAATACCTATCTTTTCAGCTGGCAATTATAAATGTATCATTTACTTATTTTGATAACCTTGAACAGCTTTGCTGAGTTTTTTTAATTAAAAAACTTAGAAGAATGATATAAATTTCAAGATAGCCTTTTAAAAATCTCTTTCAAATTTCATTCTCACAACAGTGACAGCTTCCCCAACAAATCAATTCGGTACCAAGAAATATATATAGTAAGACTGCTGTATCCATGGTTTCACTTATCCACTGCCTAAAAATATAAAATTAAAAAACTCAGAAACACACATTTCCAAGGTTTATTGCAAGAACTAGCCACTAGAGAGAACCAGAGATTGTGCAATATATTATGCTATACGTAGGGTATTCTATATCTACGGTTTTCAGCAGGATACTATGGTCCTACTGTACTAGCAAACCAAGACACTGGCTGAAATCCTGTTGCTTAGTTGTAGTAAGCCACGCTACAGAAGACTCACTAAATCAATGGTGACTAATCAGGCAATTCCTCCATAAGTTCTGTTAATTCAAATGAGCCTACTTTAGTTGCAACTTACTTTGGCACAGCACGTTACAACTAGAGTAGGCCTATTTGAATCAATAGAACTTACACAGGAGCTGACTCACCAAATCCTCACTGATTTTTATAGCCCTACTCTGGTGCAGCCTAGTATGTCAAGCAACAGAATTTCAGCTACTGTGTCCTTCTGAGGAAATGGCATCAGGGCAAGGCTCCACAAACCTCACTACATTTTATTGTACATTCAAAAGGAAATGCCTATTTAATTCCCTCATAATACTGAGTATAAAAGAGAATTATTTCATAGCACTGTAGGGCCTATATAGGATAGCCAAGAGAGACACAGCTATAAGCCATCTTAGATCCTTCAGGAGAAAGGTGGCATATAAACATTTTAAATAAAATATTTTTTTTTCCTTATGCACTCCATATATGCTGTCCTCTCATCAAGGGGGTCCTCTACTTTTTAATTGAGACACCCATTTCCAAATATCAATAGATTGCTATACAAAGCTGTGCAGGGCGGTCTTAAGTCTATCCAATCAGAACTATTACCACTGAGTTCAGTGAGTTTCCTCCAGAGTAATTATCTTCAATTGAAGCATATTTTCTGATTAGGTAAAAGGTAAAGGTTCCCCTTGACAATTTTTGTCCAGTCGTGTTCGACTCTAGGAGGCGGTGCTCATCCCCGTTTCCAAGCCATAGAGCCAGCGTTTTGTCCGAAGACAATCTTCCGTGGTCACATAGCCAGTGTGACTTAGGCACGGAACGCTGTTACCTTCCCCCCGAGGTGGTCCCTATTAATCTCCTCGCATTTGCATGCTTTCGAACCGCTAGGTTGGTGGGAGCTGGGACAAGTGACGGACGCTCAGTCCGTCGCGGGGATTCGATCTTACAACTGCTGGTCTTCTGACCCTGCAGCACAGGCTTCTGCGGTTTAGCCCGCAGTGCCACCACATCCCTTCTTTCTGATTAGGATGACATAACAGCAGTACAAAAGGCAGGGCTTTGGAAGGAAAAAACAGAATAGCAGAAAGGGAAGCACCACACCCACCCTCTTTTCTCCGCTCCTTGGGGGTCTTGGTGGATCTTACATTATCTTGTGCATAATTGTTAGGGAAAGATATTAAGTGTCAGAGAAATAAAACAACACTCCTTTCTTTCATCCAAAATGTGCATAGGGATATTTCAGTCAGTTAAGTGAACTTGCAGAGCCGTATAATTACATTCTTAAATATTTGTGAAATACTATCACGTTAACACACCCAACCCATTAACACTTCACTGCTTGCACAACTAAATTGTTAGCTATAAGCCAATCTCCTCCAACCTGGTGCCCCCCCAGATGTGGGACCATTTTTCAGATTATTATGAGAGGCTGGGGATATTGAGAATTGTAGTTTAAGTACCAAATTGGGTGAAATTAATTTTATATCTATCTATCTATCTATCTATCTATCTATCTATCTATCTATCTATCTATCTATCTATCTATCTATCTATCTATCTATCTATCTATCTATCTGGTTCTTTAATTTTGAGAAAAAACCTATTTTGACACCATCTATCTGGCGAGATGTTCTACTGGCACCAATTTTTAAAATTCACCACAAATCACCTCCACTCAGAGCTGATTTTAATTGAAATGACATGGAATTTTATTGCTGAACAATTTGTTTCCATCTGAAGATGGCTATAATGATATTGTTGATTAAGCTTAAATTGAAAAGACTTGAGTGTGACAAGTTTGCATTTTGTTCTGCTATAACCCCCAATATCTATTAAGAACAACAGTAATTTTTTCTGATATTTCTGACCTAAGTCTGGTAAGGCTGATGTAAGTACCCAATGTAAGTACCCAATGCAAGCCAAACCTACATCTATATGCATCCCTCAAGTTTGGGGAGGAGAACCCAGCTTTCAGAAAGATTATAGGAATAAACATTCAGGCACATACCAAAAGACAAGGCATGTGATGACATAACCAGTTGTACAAACTACCTTCAAATGCATTTTTCTTCTAAGCCTTACCTCTCCATAGAGAATTCAGCCCTGTTTTGCTTTTTGAAATGGCTGCCTCTGGATCCAAGCTGCTGGCTTGGTTTAAAGCTCTTGAGAAGTGTTCATCCACTACTGATCCAATGTCTCCCTGAAAGTAAGTGAAAAGGACGCAGCGAGAGTTAAGGTACTCCATCTCAGTAGGCTGGTCTTTCTCATCTTCCTCTTGTTTATTAGGAAGCGTCACTTCCAGAGATTCTTGCATCTTGCCGTATACAACTATCTTATTCTGTTAGAAAAGAGGGCAGAGGGCAGAAAAAACAGAGAATAAAGTAAAACACTATTTACAGATTACAGAAGCAGCAAACATTCAATTATGTATCTCATGACAACTGGAAGGAATTATTTCTTCATTTTCATACCACCCGTTAGTGTACTATCTGCCCCAGCCTTTATTTTAGATGGTGTCTTGGCTAAACCCTTCCTGCCTTATATCTCACCCATTCTCCTTGTTGACTGTTTGTCAATGCCAAAGGCCGGGAAGAGAACAAACCCTCCCTTACATTTTGCTAACAACTAAATAGTTCCTTCCCTTACTTCAGTCCCAGAGTTGGCACCCATCATCTGTAAATGACAGAGAACCAAAAGCAGATTAAGCCCCTGTCTCATTGCGAAGAAGTTTTAGAGGCATAGGGAAGGATAGCTCTTGATTAGGAAACAAAAGCAGAACAAGGACAAATGCAAGACGAAAGAAAGCATCATCCCAGATTCCATTCTGTATAGCTACAAATCCATGGCAACTCTCGTTTCAAATAAACCTGATGCTTCAAGCCCATATTATTTCAATGTAATCTTACTCATACCTTCCTGGCAATAGGTCTCACTGAACTCTGTAGGAATTACTTCCGCTAACAAAACTTTCTCCCCCTTTCCAAGTTAGCACAAATAAGCTGCTATTAGGCAACCCTGTTTTGTTTCAGAGCTCATTGGTTATCAGGAAAATTATGCAACATTTGAGATGTATATGTCATAAAATGTTCTGGCCTCCTAACTTAATGTCAGGCATCTTCCTCATAGTCTGTACTCATAATAGTTTCCGGGATTGCGTATACTTTGCGGAGGTGGATGCCGCTTCACATAGATGTGGGAGGCACATTGAAGCCTGCTGTAAGAAAGAAAAAAAAATCCCAACACAGAACACTGCCAAAGGTACAAAACAAATCTGTCTTCCACCCTCATTCAAATAAATGTTGCATTTTTTTACATAACACCCATTTATAAAAACATTACTTATAAAGATGATTAAATGTGATGAGATTAGTGTGAAATAAACAAACCATTTTAAAAATCCTTAAGGGTGGGAAAAGAAAAATAATTAAAAGGCAATGTTGGACAAAAGCTTCTGCATATCTATTCCTGATTCTTCTTTCAAAACCAACCAAAATGTCAAAAAAAAAAGTGTAAAGATCAATTTGACATGGAACATATTTTTAAGATGTTCTACTTTCAGATGTTTTCCGAGAAGCTCAGTTCCCCACCCTTTGCAGACACTATTTCATGCCCAACATTGAGCAAAGAAGGGGATGAGTGTGAATTTTTGGCTTAATAGTTAGCTGCTACTCAGTTCACACCAAGATTTCTGGGCAAGGCACCTGCCTAAAGATGACCCAAGCTGTGCTAACTTGCTGACTCCGCAATGCGTGACTGGGAAGGTCATCATCCACAGTAAAGTCTTCTCTTCTTCAGTCTTCGCTTGGGGAATAAAGCCTGACCTTATCTTGGTGAAGGGCCAATTTGTTTTGACTTCTTTCCATACAACGATCATAATCCAGGATTATTCCTTCTCTTTCCTCATAAGAATATGTTTGCCCATTCATTTCTAAGCAAGGATGGCCAAAGCAATGCTTTCCCAATAGTGCTGGACTCCAGCTTCTACGTCCCTCACCTATAGCTATGCTGGATAGGGCTGATGGGAGATGCAGTCCATTATCTTCTAGAAGGTCACGCTTTACATACCCATGTTTCTAACTACCATATATCATAGCTGGGCTAGAAAGAAAGGCTAAGCTTTCCCTAAGAGATTCTCTGGCCTCAAGGTGCAGCCACCAAGGAATTCATGGTGTCTGGCATCACAAATGCCTTACACTTTCTGATGTCTTACTTACACCCATTTTCCTCTTTGGGTCCCAATGTTTTCCCTGCTGCTAGCAGATGGTGTTTGTCAGTAACATCCGTGTGTCCCTGCTCACGTTCCACCAAATTTAAGCAAGCTGCAAGCTACCAAGCTGTGGTGTGCTTCCAGCCCAGTTCCAAATTTGTTTCCCATCCCTTTTCTCTCCCCACTTTGAGCAAAAAGAAAAAAAGGGAAAAAGGATGCTTGCCAGCCATAACAGTTAACTTAACACAGCCATTATAAAAGAGACAACTGAAAGGTGTTACATGAACACCACCAGCACTACAGATTGACTTTTACAAAATATATACGCAATGTTACTATGCATTTTTATACTATTTTATTTATTTTGGATACAGCATCATCTGTTTGACATTAGAACATTTCTTTATATTTTTACTTTTTTAAAATACAGCATTACCCCACAGCATTTATTTGAGCATTTGCTAATGCTTTGCTTGGGTTTAAAATAAATAGCTACAGGGTATAATACAAGTCTGATATGGGATATCCCATACATAAGGCAGATGAGACGATTACAGGAGAACTTCAAAGGGAAAACAATTTGCAATATCTCTAGTTTTGTACTTTTTAAAAAAGTGTGCATGGAATTTTTATTAAAAAATGTTAATGTTAGTACACAGCTTCTCAGGCCAGGGCTTCCATTTGGTTTATGCTATTCTGTAAAATGGAACCTACCTGGATGTCATTGCAATGTAAGTGGACAGGAAGAAGATCTGATTTTGAACATTTATGGGTGAATGCAAAAAGACATCTGTTCCAGTATTTTCTGACACTTCAACATTCCAGGGACTTCCCACAAAACACTTGCTTAAATCACTTACTGAACTTACTGTATCACGGCAATATCACACTGGCCCTCACTGGGTTTGTACAAGTATTAAATATTTCATTTAGAAATATTTCAGCGTTCTTAACACTGTAGTAGCTATGACAATAGGTAGCTTTGCACTCATTTGTGAGCTATGTTTAGTTATCCCTTCCAGGGAAACCTTGGCACTGTTATTCTTAAGGCAAAAAAGAAAAGAAGAAAAGTTACTATCCACCCCTTGCTCTGCATGAAAAGCTCATTTCAAATACTCCAAGTACACATGTATAGAAGGGAACTGGATTGGGAAGGCAGGCTCTTCTCCAACGTAAGCACAGCTGTTAGGCTGCCTGAAAAGTTCCTATATGAGCACAAGCTACAACATGCAGGCTTCCCACTCCTATGAACAAACCAACATAGATCAACTTTATGCATGTAATGAGGGGTTAGGACTGATATCATGAACTCCACTGCTCTCCCAAGCATTCACTTCTATCAAGTGCAATGTCAGGAGTGTGTGTTGGGGGGACGGGACACATAAACATAGATTTTAAGTGTGCCAAAGTCATCTGCACAATATTTGTTGTATTCTGAGACATTTGTTTTCAGGCCAACAAAACGAGTGTTAGAAATAATCCACTGAACTTAGAATACTGTATACACTTTAGCCTCTGTACCTCTTTCCATAAACAACAAACAAACAGACAGACAAAATTATCTCTTGGTTGTTGTTGGTTTTTCGGGCTCTTTGGCCGTGTTCTGAAGGTTGTTCTTCCTGACGTTTCACCAGTCTCTGTGGCCGGCATCTTCAGAGCATGGACAGAGTTCCTACTCGAGCTTGGACAGAGTTCCTACTCCAGAGCATGGACAGAGTTCCTACTCCAGAGCATGGACAGAGTTCCTACTCCAGTCCTCTGAAGATGCCGGCCACAGAGACTGGTGAAACGTCAGGAAGAACAACCTTGACTGAGTTCCTACTCCACTCCTCTGAAGATGCCGGCCACAGAGACTGGTGAAACGTCAGGAAGAACAACCTTCAGAACACAGCCAAAGAGCCCGAAAAACCCACAACAACCATAAGATCCCAGCCGTGAAAGCCTTTGAGAATACAATATTATCTCTATTGAGCACTTAAAGGGAAAAAAAAATACAGGAACCAACCTCTGAGTTAAAGATTGCCATTTTCCATGTGGCATAATATCTTGTCAATATACAAAAGGTTTTTTAGTATTAAAAATTACATTCTGCGGTGACTGTCATCGTTTGAAAATTGGGTTTTTAATCCCCTCATGTTAGTTTCCCCACAAGTACAACTCTATTATTTTGCCATTTTAAATTTCATTTTCATGACAGTTTATTGGGATGATTTTCAAATAGTAAACAAGGAAAATTTGCAGGTGAAGGATAAAGCTAGGGGGTGGGGACAATACATAACCATGTTCCTGGGATCCAGATGCTGTTGCCTGGACGTCTGCTGGTGTATGTATGCGAAGAGAGGAATTCAGGAAATTAAAACTCATATCCAGAGCTGCTGCTCTGTGCAGGAATGCTCTTCTTTTCAGATTCAAGACTCTGTCAGCATTCACATTTCAATTTCTACTGTAGCTCATATCCAGAGTTATTGCTGAAAGTTATTTTTACTTAATTTCTAGATAACTAAACCGAACCTTTGATATTGATTTTTTATCCTGAGATATAAATAATAAGAAGCTGCTGCTTCCTTTATACAGCAGTCCCCTACTGAAAAAGAAAGTGTCAGTTATACTGTATTGTAAAAGCAGGAATTACGAATGTTATTCTAATTAACAGTTATTAGACAAACTCTAGATTAGATGACCTCTACGGACTTCTCTACCAGACTAAAGGCACTTCCTTTCCTCTGTTCAAATTTTTTGAACAACAGAATAGCATCAGAAGGGTCTCTTCAATTGACAGAAACTGAGCAGGTCCCCACATTTCTACCAAATCAAATAAATATGGTTTTCTCAGTGAGTAGGGCAGTTGCTAATCTGACATTTAGAGCTTTAAAATAATTTGCATTTGCAAACTATATTTTCACTGGTGATTATCAAAAGTATTTCCCCTTCTGCAGTTCTAAGATGATTTGAACTATAAAACATATTGAATAATCTTTACTTACAGTTTTGGATTAATGCAAATGCAAGAGTAAGGTGACAACTCTCTTCCAAAGCACCTTGGTGTGAGTCCTTGTTCACGTTGAACAAAAAATGAACGAGAAGGGTTCTACGCTCATCGGAATCCTGCGGCTGTGTTAGGTGGAAACCCTGCCAGTATTGAGAGTTTTCCCTCAGGCAATAAAGTGGGAACAATATTATGGAGCCACTAGGGCTATAACAAGCATGGTGACATACATTATCACAGCACATGCAAAGACATGTCTTGGTATAGAAAGAAGCAATGTTGTGGCCTTGCAGGGATAGCAGACAGAGAGAACAACTAGAAATGATTTGACCTTAAAACTGGAAATGATTTGATCCTAAGGGCTTTTGATTCCAAGGTATTTCACTGATGTAACATTCATTAGTGTCTGATTTATGGTAACTATTCCTGTAACACTGTGAGAATGCAACTTGTAGTATAGCTCTACTGCTTCACATAACACCACAGCAGTTATGCCAGTAGATAAGAA